CCAAAGCAGCTTCCTGCTCCAAATTAAGCCAGATGATTATTAGGAAACCATTTAGGATGGATGAGTCAAGATGTTTAACCAAAAATAAGAGTCTTGTTGTTTGACCAAGAACACTGGCATAAACAGTGGTGGAAGTGGTCCTTCCGCTGCAGCAACCCGCACCTCTGCTTTGGGGGCGAGTTTCTTTTTTTTTCTTCCCTTTTTTTACGCAAAGGATGTGTGCAGGAGTGGCACTTTCGGGGCTTTAAATAGTCACCAAACTTTGGCGCAACAGAGCATCCCTGAGCTCAGCAGTGAAAATCACCGCTCTGACCCAGGATGGACGTTCACAAGCGACTGGGGATGAAGGACACGCTGCTGGCTCTCTTACTCGCTGTCCTGCAGGGGCTTCCAGTCGGGGAAGCGGTCCCGAACCCGTCACCGCTGGTTGGATCCAACTGGGGTAACCCGAGGCGTTTCATCCACCTGCAGACMTCCACAGACCTCCACAACTTCTACTTGGAAATCAAATTAGATGGCACCGTGCGCAAAACTACAGCCAGGTCCCCATATAGTAAGATTTAAAGTACAGTTTTTAAAGTGTATTGTAAATTTTATTTTTATTTTATTTCATGGTGCTAAATGTTTCTTCTCCCTCGCAGGTGTAATTCTACAAAAAGCTGAGACAAGGGAGCGCGTGGCGATCTTCGGTGTCAAAAGCAACCGTTACTTGTGTATGGATTTGCAGGGCAACCCGTTCAGCTCGGTAAGCAACTTCTTACTTTTTTATTTAATTTTATTCGTAACTACAAACTAAATATTATTTAGTAAATAGTACACTTCAACCCGTAAAACTGAACTCCTTTACGCTCCTTGTGCGCTTTTACGCAACGGTTTTCCATTACTTTTACGCATAAACGCACTGTGGTTCAACATTTATTTTATACGTTTATTATTTTTTATTATTAGGATTTTTAATAAATTAACTCCTGGGTCACATTTTTTAATCGATTTTGTAACTGCTTAAATTTGGCACCACTGCGTAATTTACGCATGACTATTTCTCCAACTTTCATACTTAAATGTGTCTGCAACATTTTTTAACTTTAAACACATTTTATATATTTAATGACAAATAGACATTAAATTTAAATAATTTGCCATGTAAAACGCGTGAAAGCTCAACTTATGTGCAAACAAATAGCTTACTTTTTAAGTCAGTTTAGGGCTATTTTTTATTTCTGTATTTTTTAAGATATCCTGGTCTGATTGAGATGTAAAAGGAATGAAGGTTAAAATCTGATAATAAATGTTGTTTATTTTCCCCGCTTTCAGCCCGTCTGCATCARAGACGACTGTCTGTTCAACCACAGGCTCCTGGAGAACAACCGGGACGTGTACTATTCTATCCGGACCGGGATCCTCTTCAACCTGGAGGGCTCCCGGCAGGTGTTCTCGGCGGGTCAGAACCTGCCGCAGACCTCCCTCTTCCTGCCCAAGAAGAACACGGTGCCGCTGGAGCGCCTCTTGCTGCACAGGGAGAAGAGAAACCGGATCGTGGACCCCTCAGACCCGCACAACGTCAACGTGTGGCAGACCGAGGACGGCTTCGACTCCAGGGCGGGGACTGAGGACGACACCGACCTGGATGTGGACGTGGAGACGGAGACGGAGGCCGGGGACGATGGAGGAAACGTATCCAGGGAGACGCAGCGGGCTCCGTCCTCCGACGACCCCTGGAACGTGCACTCATCCAAATGAGGGGACTACAGGATAAACTGCAGGGATCACTTTGTAATTCCGGTTTGACCATTAGACTTTAAAGAAACTGCAAATACAGCAATGCTGCTTCTTTTTTTATTTTATTTACCGAATTCTATTCTTATTTATAACCATAAATCATAAAAACAGTATTTCTACAATTAATGTTTGACATGAATCAACGTCTACATCTTTAGCTGGAATCTTCTGAGCAGCTGATCTTTGTTCTTTATTCAGTCACTTCCTGCAGCAAAACCAAGAAACATTATTGTTGTTGATGTTTTAACAGCTGGTCTAATGTTTCCAGGACCAAAGTCTGGACCTATCCTACCTCTGCAGAACTGGTGTGAAACCAGGCATCACTAAATACAAAAATATACACAAATATATTTATAGGAGTAGGAATTTTCTTTATGCTATAWTAAATGTATTGTAAGTGTTTTACATAAACAAGCAGATCTCAAATTGTTGTAATATTGTGGTATATCAGCTTTAATTACAACTTTCCATTCATAACATCCAAAAGATGACTTGAAAAAAAAATTAAAATACAGGGTAAAATAAATACTCTAAAATGATCAGGTGCTGTGCACCAACCAGCAAACAAAACCAGTCCCAAGAGTATTTATTTATTTAAATCCATTCCTTACTTGTTATTTATGGTATTTATAAGGATGTGTTACGATTCAAATGTACATACAGCCAAACGTGAGTCTGTTTTGAATGTATGAGCTGGAGTTGGATTTGAATGTGTGGCTAAATAAACTTTAGAAAAAGCACAAGTATCTTTTTTTTTTTTTTTTTGTTATTTGGCAAATGAAATCAATTTGTGATGGAACTTTATTTAAGTAAGGACGATTACTGAGAAATTTAAAAGAAATTTCAAAACATTCTGTAGTTTTTCACAACTGCTTAATGAGAAAAGAGAAGGMTTCACCTGCAACTGAATTACTTTAAATTAATTGTATTTGTAGAAAATGTTCATATTTATGGGAGTATGTCTGGTTGCTGGTAGGAAACAGGATCTTTTAGTAAAATAATACAGTCACTCCAGTACAAATTATGTCAAACTGAATATTTTTCTTAAAAAAATAGATTTAACAAAAAAATTAAACATTTGTAGGTTTCAGGGTCTTTCAGTGACAGAACCCTACAGTTCTCCCTGCTGACATTCAATCACTTCATCAATGGATTTATTTTAAACAAAATCTATTTGTTCATTCAAGGCAATAGAACACGTCTGACGTTTTCCTTCTGTTTCTATTCTAGTTCTCCACAAAAACTGTCCTTCAGTCTCAAAAGGTGCTGTATATTTTTTATATTAACGTAAAAAATGATTGAGAATTAAAAGCTTTAACATTTTTCATTCCCTCGTAAACAGAAATGAACTTTCTTCAGCTCTTATTGACATTCAGTAAGAACAATCTAGAAGTGGAGTATGAGTACTCCACTCCCATAGTTACATAATGTAACTATGGGAGTGGAGTACTTCAATGTATGTAGTAAAAACTGGATGGATGTAAATTAAACTTGCAATAATTCATTGGACGWGTTATTCTGAATGTTTGATCAAAACGGTTACAACTTTGGCTATCTTCAACATCAGATGGTTTTAGTCTAAAACTCTGGCATGGAGACAAAGTCCCTTAAAGCTAAAAGCTAAAGCTAATTTTTATTCTGTTGCTCCATAGCTGAATGAACATAATGTAAATCTTAAGTGACAAATACAGTCAATGGTGAATAAAACAGATACCAAAGCCATGAGGCAGGACATCTTCCACAGGTTTTCTGTGATTTTTTTTCTTCTGTGTAATAATATAACGTTGAGCAGGAGGCTGTCAGTTTATAATCAAGTCAAGCTGCTGATCTGCTGTTCAGTTTGAAAAGTTAAACAATTACTTTCACCTTAAACACACAATCAGATTTGTCCGTTTTTTATGATTAAATACAGCTTTTATAGGGAAATCTACAGCTCAGTGTTTTTACATTTTATTGCACAAGTTAAACAAGCAGCAGCTCTTCTCCCCTACAGGAGACACATCAGTATAAATACTGACAGAGCAGTAACATAAATTAAGTCAACTTTAAAAGTGTTTAAAGGAGATATTTGTAATACAATACAGTACAATAAATCTAATGCTGATAAAATGAGGTTTTACCTTTGTCTGTTCATGATAGTTACACTATCCCTCAGACTCTGCGTCTTCCACACAGAAAAGCTTTTTGTTTTACTTCCCTTTACTCTGCTCGTCGTCTGGAAGGTTTTCCAGGTGGCGCTTCCTGTTGGTGAAAACACAGCGAGCTGCAGAGAGGGCCGGCCCCGAGTCGGTCCTGGTCAGGCTGAGAACAAAGCGGCTGATCCCAGTGTTGGGGCAGGGCGAAAACAGCTGCGACATCTTGACTCCCGCGGGGAGCGCACAGTTCAGGTCCTCCACGAGGTGCCTGATGACCACGCGGATGTAAGCGCCGTGGCTCACTGCCAACACGTGAACCGGGACGCCGTGGAGGCCGTCGCTGGCTGAGCTGTCAGGGGAGACGTCGGTGGCGCCGTGGGCAGCCGAGGAGGCGTCCGACGCCGATGAGCTGTACTCATCCAGCATTTGCTTAAAAAGGACTTTGAGGAATTTTTTGAACCTCAGCTTCACCTGAAATCAGGACGACAGTGAAGCTAAAAGATTAACATGAGTCCTGMTGTTCAGTTTGTTTGAGCAGTGAACCATTTGTCCAAAACTCAGGCTTTGCTTGCCTTGTCCTCATTCATAATTTATCTCTGAGCCTCAGTGATTAATCTATTATTCAGCAATGCATTCTAAAGCAAGCACCCAAAAATATGTCACTTAGATCTCCTCCARAGCGCACTTACTGGCTGGTTTTATATTGAACATTTTCTAGCTTTTATGTAGTTAGAAAACCCAAACTGCTATAAATTCCAATTTAAAAGTGCATCAACCACATCCAACAAAACATAAGAAGTTTGCAAAAATGGCAGCTTTAAAGGGATCCATGATAGCTGTAACATTAGACTTTATTTAATAAACATATATTTTAACTGTAAAAATACTGTAGGTTGTTCAGTTTTTATCATTTTTAAACTAAAAGTTTTAAAATATATTACACGGACTGGGCCATTTTATTTACACGCCAAGCATTCTGGGTAAATGATGACGTGGATAGGTCCTCGGTGCGAGGCTGCTAGCGAGCTATATCC